ATGTTTTCTGTATCATTGTATCTTTGCTAATTGTGGTGATAAATAAATTTTTTTAATTGAATTTGAATTGAATCAACACTATTGCATAAATCGGATTTTTTCTCCATGAAAAAGACTGCCTTCAGTACATGTATTTGTAGTTGAATTACATGCAATAAAGATTTAATAATAATAATAATAAATAGTTACCGGTTCGTTATGCTGACCTTTCATCAGCTGCGTCAGGCAGAAACATTAACAGTGAATAAAGGTAGGGGGGCCTAATCATTAATTCCTTACTCCCCTCTCAAAGATGGCATATGACCATATTTCAGCTTTCACTGTTTCAGCCCCGAGACACAAAATGTGAATTTACGCCTATAATACGCACGCACGCGTGCTTGCGACCATACCCGCGTGTGCACGTCCGTTCGTGTGCGTGCGAGTACGTGTGCGTGCGTGTCTGTGTGTGTCAGCATACGAGAATTAGCGTGAACAATATGGCTTCACTATGAATGGATTGGTATTTCTAAACAAGATCGAGGCTCTAATCTCTACACGTTTTCCACTGTCCACTTAAAATGTGTGTCATAATAATTATATATAAACCTCAAATGAAAGCAAAAATAGGTATGTACTTAGCTAATAAAGTCACAAAAAATAAAGTAGAAGCCTAACAAGGGCTTCAGAGCTGAGTGATTTGCACCTATACCAGTAACCTCGCAATACCCCCAAAATTGGTCAAAATATTAACCATAACATAACGCCTACTAGTAGTAGTACCAGGAGTAAGATAATATAGATATCTATATTAATCTATATTATCTTACTCCTGGTAGTACCGGTACGGTACTTACAAACTCCTGATGAGGGTGGCAATTTTAAAGGTGCAAATCCACTTTAGGCACCTTAGGTATCACGAAGTGATGCACAGATTTCCGTGTATCATCAACTGATGCACAGACTTTCCGTATATCAAGGATGATGCAAAAACCTTAACCCTAACCCTAAGTAGTAAGTCATAAAGTATAACCTTAGGTACCGGGCGGTATCACGAAGTGTGTTAGGGTTAGGGTTAGGGTTAGGGTTTTTTCATCATTCCTTGATATACGGAGTCTGTGCATCAGTTGATGATACACAGAAATCGGTGCATCACTTCGTGGTGCCTAAAGTGGATTTGCACCTTTTTAAATGCAAGGCCTGTGGCGAACTATACCGGACCGTACCCAGGGTACGTTCCGGCAGTACCCTCGGGGACATAGACCCTATGGGCTCTAGGAACTATAGCCCGCGTACAGTTACTAGAGCTATTCAACTTCCAGCTCCACTTTGCTATCGATATTTCTTCCTCGCAATCGCAGTCGTATTAATAAGCACAAAATTAGGTTTCTTTCTATTATGTACATCGTCTTGTGTTTATAAAAGTAATTTTAATATCAGAAACGATAAATTTCACCATGCTGTGTTTAAATTCGCAGTGGCTGGAGGTACGGTAGCCGTCGGTCGTTGAAGCCCCTTTTTGGCGTTAGGGTTAGGGTTAGGGTTAGGATTAGGGTTAGGTTTAGGGTTATGGTTAGGGTTAGGTTTAGGGTTAGGGTTAGGTTTAGGGTTATGGTTAGGGTTAGGTTTAGGGTTAGGGTTCTAGCTCATCTAAACTCTCAAATCGTGAATTTATTTCCCAAGGCGTTATTTTGAAATCTGGCGCAACCGCCGCCATCTTTGTCTCGTTAAGTATGAAGCCACCATGAAAGCGAATGGACTGCCGTACGGTGTGATATTCTCTCTCTCTCTCACTTCTCTCTCTCTCTCTCTTTCTCTCCCTTCTCTCTCTCTCTCTTTCTCTCCGTTCTCTCTCCCCCTCTATCGCTGCTTGAGCATTGTTAGCGCAATGGTTGTTCATTTCGTTTCGTCATTCTTGTCCCAGCTCATGACTCGCGGCCATTCAGCCTGGCAACACTGGCGGCTGTGCAGGAAGAGTGTATGTAGTGCATGCTGCATGCTGCCGACTGTGCTTGTGAAGGTTTCCGTAGGGTGTTCACCCGTGAGCGTGATACACCGAGGGTAGCTTACGGAAACCTTACTTAGTAACACACGCCCCAGTGTCCGCTAAAACCTCTCGTTAACGGCGTGCACCACCAGCGATCCGCGCACCACCACGTTGGGGTTCGTTATCGTCAGCAAAACCTCACACCTCACTCCTTTTTGGGTTTTCCGGTACCAGCCGAGGACTGCCTGCAAGTGTGGCCGTTTTCCTGACGATTCCACCAGGTGGCGCCGTCACGTGAGGGCACGCTGCCGACCCGCGGTCGGGGGATTGCGAGCGCGAGCGCTTGTCGCTGTAGTTTAGCTGCTAATACATAACTCACACGACGTAGCTACGATGTACATGCGGGGTTTCATTCACAGCTTCCACATGCACGGTCTTGCTCAACTTACCGGTGTCTGGGGTCGCGGGCGTCCCGGGAAAACTGGGAGCTGTGTATTGTATATGTATATATTTATATTTTGTATGAGTCCTGAAATTTTTAAATGAAAAAGTTTTCCGGAATTTTCCTCGTTCCAAGTCCTGGAATATAGGCTTTGGTCCTGGAAAGCTCTGGAGAACTGCTGTAAAAACGCTTTGCCTTATATCTACGAATCCTGAGCATAATGTTAACGGTGTGTGTATATGTAACGAGGATATTTAATAATAGGATATGAACAGGATATAATATAACTCATCCCGGTGAATTCACTCTCTCTATCTCTCTCTCTCTCTCTCTCTCTCTCTCTCTCTCTCTCTCTCTATCGCTCTCTCTCTCTCTATCTCTCTCTATTAATAAAGCTTTCCTTTGGTGTCGGCAGTTTGATCGGTTTCGGGCATCACGTGAGCAAAGATGTTGTCCTCATTGGCTGGCAGATGTGCATGACCCGTGGCTTCTTCGATGTTTGCTATCCCATTGGTTGAGGTGCAGTAAGCTCCACCCAGTGTTGAGGAATGCATGCGGGCATATCCTAATAAGGTCTTCCTACAGGAAGTCTTCACTCCGGATTAGACTTGCTAGCAGATCTCTTTTGGCGCTGAGGTACCTGGCTTTGTACTTTGCTTTCTTATGTCGGTGTATTTCTGCTCTTAAAACTATAACATCTGTTGTCATAGCAACGACGGTAGGCGGGGATGGATGGGGTGAGGGGGAGAGATTCTCTTCTCATCTGTGGATCTAACTGATGGATCGCTTATGTTCATGCATCACACTTTCATTGCCTTCCGCGTTAAAGTCCGTTGCAGAGAACGGACGTTTTTCGACGATTGTTTAATATATAGGTACATGTATGATTGTGTATATGTTTGTATTTATGTACAATAACGGTAATTATAGACGATAATGACATTGAATCTTTACTTGAAGCTGCATCCCAAATCAAATGTATTCTGGAGTTTGACGAAGGTTGCTGCAACACTTTAGTTGTTATAGCCAGTTGTTATAGTTTATTTAGGGTAGATACACTACCTACTCTACGTCTTTTAGCAATAGTAGTTACGAAATGGTTCTGCGATTGCCCCGCACAACAGCAATGTTGTGCTGAGTGTGTACAGAATGAAACCACTGTAAAATACGGTACATTATTATGAGTTGATAGGCGATCGTTTTAATCTAATTATGTTTTCGTTTTACCTCCGACTTAGTCGTGCGCGCGGAAGCTGAAACTGTAGCCGTGTTAGACGGGGTGATTAATTAAAACCTCAAGGTCGCAGTTAACGACATGATGGGCTCCGACATCTTCACTGTTATGATGTAGCTAAGGGTTCGCGACGTATCCATGACAACGCGTAAATGCGCGGCCAACGTGCCGCGATCGTTGCCGATCAGAGAGACTAGTCGCGATTCGACGAAATTCGTAAATGCCGGCAGCCATCTTAGATTTTAGCTTTCGCGAAAGATGGTTTGCGATTAGTGGTAGAGCTTGCACGCCAGCGCTCGCGCGTCAGTCGCGTGCGCTGGGAGAGTTTGTGTGCTTTTGATTTCGCTCGGCCGTCGAGCCTGCTGCGCCCTCTGCTGGCGGTTCCGGTCAAGACTTAGTTGTAGCGAGTAGCGCCCCCTGCACGTCGCCGCTTCGTAGCGGCGACAGTGCGACGTCGCACTATCGGGAGAGTGGTGATTAGTATGCGTCATGTCAAGCTAACAGTAGTGAAGAGTGCAGGTTGTAATTTGGCCTGACCGTGAAGGCTAGGCCAGTAATTTGTGCCCTGTGTATAATCTGACGCTATTTCATGTCTAATATCGCATCAGATTGTAAAGATTTCTAGGGTGCAACTTATTGGTGTGTGGTAAGACGCGCGCTGACAGATAGACTCGTTCCACTCACCTGTGGCGAGTACTGTGGTTGGGATTTGTGAGTGGACTGAAACTGGCTGGCAGGTGGACAGACGCGCAGAAGTTAGCTAGTACCTATGAATCCCTTCCCTCTGCATCAGGTGTGTTCTGCTGTGAAGCGTAGAACTACATAGATAGAGCTGACACTGCAAGAGGTGGCGGCTCACACTACGTGTTAAATTGACTACGTCACGAATTTTCTATAGTAAAATTTATAACATTTTTGTTGCCATTTTTTTACATTAAAAGTAAGAACTAACGGGACTAAACGCATCCTCAAATTCTTACCTGATATTGAAGATTGTTTCTCAACTAGTTGAAAATCCAAAAAACCTGGACGATTTGATATTGTGTTCCTGATATTAATTGCTTGCTATGGGCTATGTACGAGTCATGAGTGTATGTTCACATCTAGCTTTAGTAACTATAGCCCACGTACAGTTGCCTGCGGTTACAGTTATAGCTATTAGACTAGATAGTTATAGCTGCGGTTATAGTTATAGGCGGTTGCGGCTATAGTTACTAGAGCTAGTTCACATCGAACAAATAAGAAGTATCGAACAAATAAGAAGTAAAATAAGAAGTATAATGCAGCAATTTAACCATACAAAGTGAACAGAATTATTTTGTGAAAAAGTGGAAATAGTTTTTTTATTTGTACTATTTACGGTGACGTAATCACTTTAATAGGTGCAAGTAATGTTATGACGACTATTATTATGTTAATAGGTGTGAGCTGTGTCGTGTGTGTTAAGCCCCATCCGTGCAGCAGCAGGGCCGAGTTGTCAGATAACAGATAACTGTGATAATGGAAATTGTGTTGGTAGGTGCGTGTGCACCTAATAAGGGAAGCTGGAGTGGAGCGCGTTTATATAATGTTAAAATATATTATAATATACGTACTCGTAGCACACCAGCCAACCGTGTTGCACTGCACTTTTAATATGGTAATAAATGTGCGTATGTAATACTCAGGCTTCTCATTGACTAATTACGTTCTGTGAAGTACGTTTCGTTCGATTACAGATTTTATTGACGTTAATTTCCGTATATATTATACATTTTACGCGGAGGCTGTATGCTAGCTTGTCGGTTTTGAAATGGCCGCCATTGGATGCGATCGTGGCGGCACCGTGTGGAAGCTTGTGTAGTTTTCTTCGCGTCGCTGTGACAGCGGGAACCGGAACCATGTCTCCGGTTGGCTGCCGATCTCGTGTATAAAGTAACGAAATAACGTAGTTTGAAAAATAAAACTGCATTTGCACAGTACGTATCGTCGATTTCCGTGTTTCTGTGTTGTATGTGCAGCATCTATGGAGTGAGCATGGCGGGTGGTCTCGACTCTCGACTTTAGACAACTGCAGGCCAATGGAGCCCACAAGTGTTAATTATTTTTTCAAGGACATTTCAAGGACATGTTTTTTATCAAGGACAATCTGTAACAAGTAGTTTTAACTTTTTCGTGACCACATATACCTTAGATTCATATATAAAGTAAAAATAGTTGTTTTACACGAGTGCCGACAGCAGTTTAAACAGTCCTGTAACAATATGTAAATCTTTGATGTAATATGTATCACTCAGAACTATACAAGTATCACACAATGTACTGTATCACTCAGAAATGCTATTATTTGAACTGCTCAACACAAGCATTATCTGACATACCATACTACTGCACAAACTGCATCAACAACACCCTCCCGTTCCAATCATATGATATTGATGAAATCTCAGAATTCTTTCAATCAAACATAAACATCAATACACTTCTAGACCTACCCTCCCTATGCGACTCAGCTACCCTATCAACCTTTAAAAACGAC